GAGGTGTCGGTTTTCATCCTTTTTATGAGCACACTTTTTTGGAATGGGTCGAAAGTATAGACTCTTTACTTTGCGGTCTCAGTGACAAATTAATTATTAACGAATGTAATGGAACTGCTTCGCTTCCAACATAAAACATTTACAATTTTGATCAAGAAAAAGGGTGTAAAGTTGTGCAGGAAAGTATTTAGATTGCAACGGTACACCAATCGTACAATAATCGTGGGAAAGTTAATCTTTGTCGTGCTCTTTATTAAATCTAATAATCTCCTTTCCACGTAATTTTTCTCTTGATTTTTTGAAAGGAGGCGGAAATGGGGGGAGGGGTATAAGAGAGGAAAGAACAGTGCAGTGCAGGAGCGGAGAAGCCAGTCACCGCAGTCTCAATGTTATTGGAATGCTGGTGCTGGTTTATGCCTAGCCCTTCTAATTATTACCAACGCAGACGGCGTTTTGAACCCTTGTTCAATATCTCTATTATTCCCCATACCCATGCTGCTGTCCTCCCCCCCCCCCTCTCCCTCATCCCGCTCGCTGCCTGCCTGGGGCCCCGGAGAGAGATATCCGGTTGGGTCCAATCTAGCCAACAGGCCGCGCTGTCTGGCTATCCGAGCCTGTCCCGCAGAACCTCTCCACGCCCCGCCTCGTCTCGCCCCGCCCCGCCCCGCCCGGTCGCGCCACGCCCCGTCGCTCCTGGCTGATTCAGTTGGGTTTGGGACTCCACTACTCTGACACGACCTCTTGCCACGACCGTTCTCATATCTTTACTCGACACTGCTGCCCACACCTCTCTACCTTTCGATTCAAATACAGGAAAGAAACTGTTGGGATATCTTCTTTTCTAGCACGCAAATAACGTAGAACTACTGGTTTATTTACAAGATGCATTAGTTAAAGTACATTATTAATACTACATCAAAATTCAGTGCACAGGACTCGCGCTTTCAAAGGGTATACTACAGACAGATTCGTCTCCAAGGCATGGAAACTGTACCGAATGTATAAAAATCACAGTTCTGAGGATTTTTATTGACTGTCAAAAGGATTATATAATGTCTGAAATTTACTGGCACCCGCTTCGTCCTACTTCTGTTTCATCAGTCTGCGTACCAAAATATATGTTTTAACAGTGCTTAAGATGATTATTTCTCGACAGAGACGTGAGTGGTGAGGAGTGGGCCAGTGGGAAAGGGGCCTCAGAAAGCGTGGTGCTTGCGAACTCCCTTCATACCCCCCTCTCCCCTCACTCCCCCCTCTCTAACCGCAGCACGCTCTCCCAAGAGCAGGGTGCTCGACCAGCTTCATCACGCAGATCGTCGTGCACCCCATTTCTACCTTCCGTACATCTATTTATTTTTATAATTTCTTTGTTCTTGTTTTTTTTTTTGGGGGGGGGCGGTGTGTGTGTATATTTTTGTGAATGGAATCATCTTTTTAAAAACGAAATTTAAAATACCCATGGAGATGTGGGTACATGCATATGCCATGGAGACCCCAACTTCGATAAGAATTCCATACTAAAGAAGAAAGCGGATCATTCTGTGTCCAGCTGAAATGCGCTACTAAGCACATTTTATTCAGCTTGAAATTTGCATCTATGTAAGACACAGAAAACAGTCTTTCTTATTAAGTTAGGCACAAATTGTAAGAAAATCGTTTTCTTCCATTTATAGGTTGTGGCAACGCCGTGACTGATGACTCTTGCCTTCTGATTTATTTCTATTCAGAGTATGAACTTGGAACGTATGTACCCTGTGGTTGTTTCGGTCCACCGAAAAGTCTACCGTGCGGACGAAAGTGTTGTTACATCGTGTACGCTACGCTACGCACCGCGCAGTTTGAAGTTTTCGACGGTGTCGAGCAGCACGTGGCCCATGACGGTCTCCCCCGCGTAGTACATCTCGCGGTCCAGCCGGATGTCGAACTCCCTGATGTAATCCATATCAGGGGCTGTCAGACGGGCATAGGGGCGGTGGCCTGAAACACACAACAAAGCACACACAAAATAAAAACCGTTAAGGGAATTATTGTCGGTGGGCTGCGCCAGAGGTGAACCTAAACACACACACACACATTTTTTATTTCGAGTCGTTTTCCTTCCACTGCTGGCGCAGAGCGCGCGGAATATTGTCTGCTGCTCCGTTGTGCCTCGCACACTTTCTCTATACCCCTGGTGACCCTGCGTCACACACAGGGAGCTCTGCGTTGGCTCGGCCAGAGAGGGAGGAACAAAGAGAGAGAGAGAGAGAGAGAGAGAGAGAGAGAGAGAGAGA